CGATTTTGTTTAGTGGTTACGAGATCGGTCAAATTGACTAACCTTGTATAAAGTTAGGGTAGAGAAAATAACAGACAAAATATGAATTTTTATTGAAAAAAAACGTTTGAAATATATTTAGGAGGTTTTAGAGATTACGCAAATGAAATTTGAGATGAAGAAAATCACTTTGCACTCGAACTAGTGAATGAAAAGCGTGGATATATTCAGAGACAAATCTTTAGTGAAAATACTTCACTAAAAATCTGATATAAAAGACTTGTATTGTTTACTGACAGTTACCAAATAGCCACCTGGCCATGCCGAGCCAACTTCCAGTTTATGAAAGCCCGTTTACTTATTTCACATGCTTTGTTTTATTATCCTTTACTTCTTTTTCTTCTTCTTCTTTTTTTTATACTTCTTTAGTGTTTCGTAAACATGCTTTAAACACAAAATCGTGTTTTCAGAAAATTAATCAACTCTCTCAACACGAGTTAGGTCAAATTGACCAAACATGTGACCACTTTGTACTTGTTATAGTTTCAATACAACTAACTTTTAATATAGTATGTGTATTTTTACAAAAGGGCGCTCGTCTCGCAATCTGAAGGTCGCGGGTTCGAATCCCCGTCCCACCAAACATGCACGCCCTTTCAGCCCTGGCCGCGTTATAATGTGACGGTCAATCCTACTCTTCGTTGGTAAAAGAGCATCCTAAGAGTTGGCGGTGGGTGGTGATGACTAGCTGCCTCCTCTCAAGTCTTACACTGCTAAATTACGGACGGCTAGCGCAGTTAGCCCTCGTGTAGCTTTGCGTGAAATTAAAAAACAAACAAACAGACTGGAAGTTTCTTAAATCAAAGGGATCATTTCAAATATTCTGTTTTCAATCACTATTAATTAAGGCAGTTGCTAGAACATTGTCGATTAACTTTAATTAATGTCTGCAGCGATACCTATTATTATTCCAAACAACGTAATGACTTGCCTAGTTAGGATGCCGTTCAAGAAGAAGAAGAATTATATGATCAGATAACAAAATAATTAATTTATATCGTAATTAAAACGAAATTCGACGAAGAATTAAAATATACCTTGATGATCTTTTATTTAAGTATAACTCAATTATCTTCATAATTAAAACTAATAGAATAATTTGGTACCAGCTCCTTACTGTGAAAGTAAAGCTCAACAATTAAGAACAATTATTTTTGTGTCGGTTCTGTTGCAAAGTACAGTTTTTTATGAATGCATGAAAGTCGTGCCAATTATTCAGATCATTTTGGTTAGTATACCTGGATTGTGAACCTGAGGGACTTTGGAGCCGTGTTGGTGATGATGAAAGTATAGTGTTGGCAGGAATGAGTGTTGGCGATGGTGAAAGTATAGTGTGGGCAAGAATAAGTGTTGGCGATGGTGAAAGTATAGTGTTGGTGATGGTGAAAGTATAGTGTGGGCAGGAATAAGTGTTGGCGATGGTGAAAGTATAGTGTTGGTGATGGTGAAAGTATAGTGTGGGCAGGAATAAGCATTCGTGACGGTGAAAGTATAGTGTGGGCAGGAATAAGCATTCGTGACGGTGAAAGTATAGTGTTGACAGGAACAAGTGTTGGTGATGGTGAAAGTATAGTGTTGGTGATGGTGAAAGCATAGTGTTGACAGGAACAAGTGTTGGCGATGGTAAAAGTATAGTGTTGGCAGGAACGAGTGTTGGTGATGCTGAAAGTATAGTGTGGGCAAGAATAAGTGTTGGTGATAGTGAAAATATAATGTGAGCAGGAATAAGTGTTGGTGGACGTTCTGACTTCTACATCTTTCTATAGTGACACACACTATAGATATCACATCCATCTATCCTTTATACTGTTATATATTGGTACAATTTGGCTTAATCACAGCCATATTAAATTGCGTGATACAGTTCTTGAATAAAAGAAAGTTGACTGAATGTAGTTGCCTACATTCTCCCAAGTTTTAGTCCCAGCTCTTGGTGGACGCGTCGCGTCCCTTCATGTGATTCCAAGCACTAAAATGCCTTGGAAACAGATTCTTCACTATGTTTTCAAGAGCCCCCAGGACTTTATCAGCACTCGGACTAAACACTCAACATTGGTGCTCGGGTTCTCTTGCTGTTCATATTAATAATATCCTACAATGAAATATCTACTAAATAAGTACCTATAAATATAGGCTGAAAATAGTATTTTTTGCATTTTATAATGATATAGCTGGCCAACAGCTGCCTGATTTATATACAAATAAACTGATGAGCATTTAACAGTTTTATAACAGTACCTTGTTATAAGTGAATTATCTCAAACATGAAATATTAAAACACTTTTAAATTAATTTAAGAAACAACGAAACTGAGCTCTTGTAACTAATTTCTCGTTAAGCTTTCTATTAATTAAGAAGTTAAGATACATTAAGTACCGTTTCCCATGGCATGCTTATTTAATGACTATACTGTATTGGCTACAAAGATTCGTATCAAATACACTGTATAACTGTTGTCGTGTTCTCTAATTACTCTTACTTCAGCCACTGTGTTCCGTATCTAATATGTTATATAACTGTTGTCGTGCTTTCTTATTATTCCTGCTTCAGCCGCGAATCAATTGTATAAAGTATTACCTACTTATTGTTATATATATATATATGTATGTGTGATGATTGTTATTTGTTCAATATATATTTTGGACCATTCCGTGCGAGTATCACAATTAGATTTATATTCTAAAAATCAAAAATATGTTTTTTCGATTTTTATATTCACCTTTATATAGTAATATCAAATTATTTTCATTATGCAATAATATAAATATTCATTTTTTTCCTTATCCTTATTGGACAGAAGGATAAAAAACACCACATAAAGTACAGATCTTTAAATACCATATAAACTTCAAGTTATTTTAGCTTACTGGTGAATAAATATATTGTCACGTAGCCTTTGTTTGGTATATGTTTCAAGCACCAATGGAAACGTCCGTTGTTTATTACACTTTGTATTTGCATTCCTATATACCACGTTCATGTATATACAAGTTATATTTATCCTTTGTGTATCTGGGAAAAATGTGAGTCTGGCATCCCTTCACATTTATTTAACATAAAACAGTAGGACAAAGCGTAAATTAATCTCTGTAACAGCTATTTTTAATATAATGACACTGGTAGTAATAACGTCTTAGATAACTGCCTGTTATATGTACACGAATTCAATAATTAGCCAATCATCATTAAACGTGAATGGAAGTACTCAAAAATTATTAATATTCTCTGTATTCTAATCATACATGATATTTTTACTGAATGAAGTTAAACTTTATGAAAAAATAAAATACATTTGTTTTTTGTTTGGAATTAAGCATAAAGCTACACAATGGGCTATCTGTGCTCTGCCCACCACGGGTATCGAAACCCGGTTTCTAGCATTGTAAGTCCGCAGACATACCGCTGTGCCACTGGGGGACCATAGAATACATAACATTGTACGAGAAATATATATAAGAAAAAACGTAACACCTATGCTGGAAGTAATAAATTAGATTTCATCGTATGAACAATCCCACGGGTATATTGCACTTTTGTGAACACAATACAATGTATGTGAAAGATGTACAAGACAGTAGGGAATATTTATCTTTACTTCCATTTCAAAAATAAATGACATTTTAAAACAAAATCACAAATTCTATGAAATAAATTTCCTTACATCCGGTTTTGCTGTCACGACGTAATCGATACCCTTGAATGTTGCTCAATAACTGGCATACAATAACAACATCAGAGTGTTATACAACAATCTCAGCATAACAACAAAATAAGGAATATTATACAGCAGTAAACATAAATCACAATACATTTGTTTAATCTCAACATTATATCAATATTTGAAAAGTTTTAATGGATCCAGTACTGACTTTAACTTTCTGTACACACACATTCCAGTGTGATCTTATTCAATACAGATTGTTACGCACAACAGTCCCTTCACAATGCTCTATTCACATAATCAGCTCCAACATTATCTGAACCTTTAACTGATTGGAAATTTATATTATAGCTCTACAAAAACATAGTTCATCTCATAATTGTACCATTGGTGAATTTCGACTCACTGGAGTACACGAGAGGTTGATGGTCAGTTTCAAGGATAAACTTTATCAGATAGAGGTACATCATGTACACCATAAACTTCTTTATTTCCCATACGATAGCTAGACACTCTTTCTCCATGCAAAGTACTCTTTTATCTTTCTCTCTTACAGTGTTTTGCTAGAAAATATGATGGGGAACAACTTACCATTACGTTCCTGTAGCAAATGGTTCCAATTCCATTGTCAGAAGCATCAGACCTCAGAAAGAATTGGTTGTTAATTTCTTGTAATATGCGGATGGGCTAACTGGTAAGCAAGATCTTTAATTTAATTTAAGCCTTCTTCTGAGCTCCTCCCAACACTACTATGCTTGGTCGACAGTTCTTTGTCAAACCCTTAAGAAAGACTGCTATGGCTGCACAATTAGGAATGAAATTTGATGATAATTCAGTTAATTCTATAAATGTCTTATTTTAGCCTGTAAACAATATTTTATATACTCCAAACAACGCTGCATAATTTGAACAAAGGAAAATGATCGTAAACTTTGATCATACAATTCCTATCGGTATACCTACTGTTTAAAATAACTCACTATTAACTAGTTAACAATATCATCGAGGCAAGATTTTTTGTAGCCATAAGAGGTGATCGAAAGATTGTTAATAATACTCTTGTTATACAGTTGTTTGTGTTCTCAAAATAGTTTATCGTTAGAAATTCTAGGGAGTGTTTTTTTTTTGGAAACCATGGAGGGTTATTGAAGAAATATTTATTAATAATTATGTCTTATTGTGACATATTTTACACAAAATACAAGTTTATAGATTTTGCTTCTCTAGCATAGGCGCCATACGTCATAAAAATTTGTCGAGGATACTTTTGTTAGACGATTTTTTTTCGGTTAGAACTTTACGTTGTTGGATATGTTATCATTATATATCATTTTATCTTGTGATCAGAGAAGTCGATCATAAATGCCTTGATATCAATATATTCTCCAGGTAAATTTTAGCACAATCCTAGATGTATTCCGAAGTAGTTATAGTGAAAGTCTATGGTTTGTTTGTTTGGAATTAAGCACAAAGCTACACAATGGGTTATCTGTGACATTCCGCTGTGCCACTGGGGGGCGAAGTCTTATGGAATGTAGCTTGAAACCACAAATTCAGTAACGATAACAAGTAGACACTAAACGGTTGAATAGAATCTAATTTCAGGCTGAAAAGACAACTTTATTGTTCACCAGCTGATAACCATGCATCATCAGTACTTTTCTGAAAACATCATAAAATGAATGATATACAACACCTTCTGCAAGTTGTCTTAAGTTTAAAGAAGGCAACGATAATCGTCCATGTTACTGTTAATGCAAGACATTTCTGCAGAGTGAGGTGAATTAGATTTGGTAATGAAATTTCAATAGCTTTACGAAGTAGTAGTTTACTTGCTGAGATAAGCCTGTTCAGTCATTTCAACTATTATTTTAAAAAGTTAGTGAACTTTTATGTTTAGAACCTTTTACAACTGTGTTTGTGAGTGAAGATTTTGGAGAGGCGACACATCAGATTCAGAATGTTGTTCCATCATGGCAGTTTTCATTACCCACGCCACGTATCGAAAAAGTTGACACCAAGCTTCTTCTATCTCTGCCGTCCAATGAGCTTCTAACGACGGTCTGATGGCGTTAACGAACTGAGGACCTATCCACTAAAGAATCAAAGAAAACAATCAAGGTAAGGCAAAGAATGTTTTTAGTTTTTATTTCGTAAGAAACATGCCTCATTATTAAAACTTTACAACACTGAAAGAAGGTTATTATATCAATTACTCGATAGGAAACGAAATATAAAAGCTACCTTTTTTTAAAGCTTTTCTTTTTTTCTTTATATGAAAGAATCGCCATGTTTTGATTTTTAAAGTATTCCAGATGACTAAACAAGGGATTCCGAAACCATTTGTATGGTATCAGTGACAGAATATCGGTATAATTTTATATATAGAAGGGCAGTGTTTCTTTGTTTATGATTTTTGGCTTCTTTTTTCTCTCCCAGTTTTGTTGTTCGATGTGCAATACTGGAAATACTCGAACACTTATATCGAGGTTTCGTTTATTGGTAAACTGTGTAAATCTTAGAGGCAGACAACTGGTTGTTATGATATGTTTTTATTTATAGTTAGTTTTATTAATATTATTTTACTACAATATTGGAAATATTTTTGAATATTGCTATTGGTATTAATTTTTACACTTACGAGGAATGTTTACCAATGTTAGCTTATCATATGACTTTAGGATTAACGTAAACCTCCTAAACTTGCCGAACTTCGCCCAAAAGTATGCTCAAGTAGTAATTCAATGCACATTAATCACTATAGTGGGTTAGTTTCCTTGTGTATTAATTTTTGATATGATCTATTTCTTGTTAAATAAAAGTTGCTTCGTTAATTTATTTTACTGTTCTGATCCACGCGGTAATCTATTGTTTGTAATTACTTTTCACTACTAATTATTGTTATTTTTATTTGTGTGAGCTCTTTATAGCATCCCCCTCCCAGAACTTTCAAGTCTTTTACGGTATGTTATGGCTGATTTTCACATATCTTACGCTTATTATAAACATTTTGGAAGGATTGTTAGAGACTTTTACTATTTAAGATATATGAAAGCAAATCTACTTATTTCATTACAGAACCACAAAACTTAAAAATGTACATCTAAAAAAAATAAAATTTAACTCCTGAAAAAACTCACGTGGACCGAGTAAAAGTGTGAATGAAAAACAAAAACAAACGCATGATTTCTGGGAAAATACTTATAATAACATTGAGTGCTGAGCGATTTATTTTCCCTTCCTTTTATCTTCTGTTCTTTTTTTTGTTTGTTTGTAATATGGCAAAAAACGAAAACCACGGATAGTTTAAAAGTAACCAAATTTCCTTGTTGTAGATAAATAAACAGAATAGTAAAAACATTATTTGGCTAACGTATGGAAATATGTTACTGTAGGGAATATCAGTGAAATGACAACATGGTGACATCAAGCAAAGATCGACCTTTAGTTTTTCGTGGGGTTAATAAGTTGCAGTTTATGTTTTGACAATAAATCTATTAAGGTTTCCAAAGTTAAATATTTGCATTTTATCTCTTTTTCTTCTCTTTTTTTTTTACAGTTTGTAAAATAAGAAAAACATGAAAATGGGGAAGTCTTTTAATCAAACTCAATTTCCTGTCAACCACTGAAAATGTGGTCAAATTTCTGCTGCTTTTTCTGGAAGAGAGAAGGGATCAACACACCTATCTACACCTTTGTAATTTTTCCAATCTCATACATTGTTGTATAGTAAAAGTAGATTTATATATATATAAAAATCTCACATCAATATACTCGGGTTTTGCTCCATAATAGATGTGTTTTCTTCCAAGGTCTGCCAGTAACTGGTCCATCTTCTCTTCCTCGTTTAAGCGTGCCATTACTTTCTGAACAAACCCCATCACTCGGAGCGCATGCGCCCTCAATTCCTTATTGTAACGGAGCTCGTTTTGAGACAGCCCCTTGAAGGGCAAAAAAACTTCTTGGACATCGGGATGAGTTTCAAATAAGCTATTTAAGCAAGAAGGGTATTAATAAATTAAATATTAATTAAATCCAATGACACAACAAAGACGAAACTTAAATAACACAAAGTCACTTTCATAATATAATAAAACTATGTACATGCAGTGTTACTTACGTACAAAATAACGATATATATTAATCTTCTTAAATTTAACGGATTGATTTTAATTCATTATACTTGTGATATTTTCAGTTTTAACTGCGATCTTTCTTTATACTGAAAGCCGATAATAAACGATCGAATATTTATGAATCAAACACCTATTTCTGAAGTACCAGTTGAATATGAGACGATTAAATATTTATTCAACCATTTCTTATATTTTTGAAGTACCAAACTGAATATAAGTAGTTATATAAGACGTGTTTGACTTGGTTAAAGCGATTTCACTTTTTTAATGTTTCTTTATAACACTAGGGTTTACTACAAGATGAACAGTTGTTTTGAGACACTAAAATTTTTCGATGATTTTTGGATAGATCAATGTAAATTTCTTATAAAATATATGTAAGAAACTACCCAAACCATCCGTTAATTATGCTGTATGAAAAATACAAATATAAAATAATTACCTATTTAACAAGTTTTTATATCTTTCTTATTATAAACGATAACAAAGTAGTTACAAGGCTTAGCAGTTTAACGTAGAGTTTGTTTGTTGCTAAATCGAAATCTGCAAAATGGGCTATTTTTGCTCTGCCCACCATAGAGACTGAGTGCCGGATTTTAGCGTTATAAACTCTCAAATTTACCTCTGAGCCGTTGGAGGGCCACAAAAAAAAAAAAAAAAAAAAAAAAAAAAA